TAGGGTTAAGCACTTCAATCTCCTTCATGGCAGCATTAAATAAAGGCTCAGTGGATGCCTTGCTTGCCTTCCAAAACATGGTTTTATAGTACACACTACTGAATCTTTTACTAAAGTTGGCAACAATATGCATTGCACACTACAATATGTTCAGCAGTAGGCGGTACTTCCTTGACAGCCTCTAACAGTCCATGTACAACAATGGTAACATGTTAGATAAAAGGAAACCACCAAGTACAACATTAAAAATTTAGGAAGTAAACAACTTACCTTATGTTGATCCGACATTAATGTTATACCAAAACCATTATCCAGTTGAAGGTCATCTCTAAGGTTTTCCAAAAACCATTTCCAATTTTCTTTGTTCTCTACACAGACAACTGCCCATGCAATTGGGAATATGTGATTATTGGCATCTCTTCCTAAAACACATATTAGCTCTCCAATACATAACCCCTTTAAGAAACATCCATCTAAATTTATAACCCTTTTGTAGATCCCTCTCCATCCTTGCTTTAGCCTATCAAAACACAAGTAAAACTTGCTAAAATAATTCTTACTATCTGGCATAGAATTGATATCCATTTTGACTATTGATTGTGGATTTGATCTTATAATCTCCTCACCATATGACCACAACTTTGCATAGTGCTCCACGAGTGTTCCTTCAATCAGTTCAATTGCATACTTCTTTGCTCTTCTACACTGTCACATACTCACATCTATACCAAATTTCCCTTTAACCTCATCCCTAAGTAGCCTGACAATAACCTTTTTTTTTATGTAAGAATTGTGTTGTGTAATGAGTACCTATCCATGAATAGTTCACAATTGAACCTAACTTGAAATTTCTTGCACAGTTATGCTCATTTATGAGACTCTTAATCTGGAAAGACTTTTCCTCACTCATCCAAGAAGCCCACATCCTAAACTTGCACTGCCTAGAACAACATTTCACTAATAGTCTCCTACTATCATTTTTTTGTAACATAACAGATAACCATTTTCTACAGCATAGTTACACATCATATGTTTCAGTTGTTTAGGACTCACAAATCTCATACCTAATACATATTTCTGCTTTTTACAATGAACATTCTCATTGTAAATAGCGTGGTCGGTAGATATTACATCATCCTCTTATGGTGGATCATATGTGTCTTCAGGAGGTGGACTGTGGGGGTGACTTGCTCCTTTGGGCACAACTTACTCAGAAACTTATCATCTTTTGTCTTGTTAATAGGAATGCACTCATCAGGTTCAGTTTCCACTTCCATGTGAATGCCATCATCTTGCTCACCTTGCAAATCCTCTGTTGCACATTGGATATCATACCTACCACCATGTAAATCCTGCATGTCGATTCCATCATCCATATCCATATGACTGTGCACTTCTTCATGATCTTCATTTGCACCAGATAAATGGTCTAAAGAAATGCAAACTTCTGCTTGCTCTTCAAGAACCCATTGATGTATATTAACACCAAGATGGTCCATATATATACATCAAGTACATAATCAGAAGCATACCCTACTTCGATTAGTTCCATGTAATCCATGTCGGTCGCGATTATCCTTAATCCATCAGGAAAATCATTATCGGTCATGCAAAAGTACACATTCACACATCTCTCAACAACGGATCTTTCAAGGAACGCCAAAAATTCGTTCTTGTCCATTCCATAAAAATCAACATCATCAAACCTTTGCTCTGCTCCATCTGAGTAAGTGATAGAGGGGTACCAGGTAAAAATTCTAGCAAAATGTAGATCAAATCTTCATGAAAACGGCCATAGCAATGACAAAGTTCGCCGATTTGAGCTACGAACACTTAAAGAAAATGATAGGTCCGAAGAACAGTTGAACAACAGATTTAGATGAGGAAGTTACAGAAGAAAGTGTTCGAAAGAGACAATTGAGGGGCTTAAAACGTACAATATCTCTCATTAACTCCTATATACACATGACAATGACGTGGACTAAATTAATCTAATTGGATATTAGGTGGAAATAGAAAATTGCTACGTGGGATGGGGGTCACTAGGTGACTCCTTCATTTTTCCAAAACTGCCCTTTTAAAACCAAAAATTAGTCGTATATGCCCTTAAAATGCAAAACAAATAGTCACGAGGGACCATTTAAACAATTATACGTAACTTTATTGGGCTTGACAATAACCCTTTATACAATATAAACCTTATAAATAGATATTTTTATATTTATATGTATACAATATGTTTTAATACTCTATATATATATATATATATATATATATATATATATATATATATATATATATATACCTATTAATTATAAATAAATATATTTTCATATATGAATACGTTTTTAAAGGCGTACATTGTCTTTCAAATGTATATAAATATTAAATAGAAGTAAATATATTTTTAAATACTAAATACAAGTTAATATTGTGTTGAAATATGTTTTAAATCTACAAAAATATTTTTACACATTTAAAAACGTATTTAAAATTTTATGTATAAAATATTTTTATACATTAAAAAATGTATTAAACATATATAATAATAATAATAATAATAATAATAATCAAAATGAAAATAATAATAATCAAAGTAATAGTAAATTTGAACATTTTTGAAAACTTGAGGGTAAATCTGGTATCAAGTAACTGACAGGTTACCTGCAAATCGGCTAAAATGGTATAAATGAACAAATTAAACAATACATCAGACTTTACTGGACCTAAAACACGTCCAGTGGTAAAACCGTTATTTTTTGAAAACTTAAGGGCTTTAATGTCATTTACCCTAAAATAAAACAGACGTTGTTGTTTTAAGTTTAAAATAATTATATTGTTGTTTTTGATTAAAAATAAAAATAATATGTAGTATTATATTGAAACTAAACTATAAATAAGTTAGCTTTTTGGCTTAAAAATTAATAAAATGTAGTTACGATTAAAAATGAAGTATATTGTTGTGTTCGATTAAAAATAAAAGTATTTTACTATCCAATAAATGATACCTTTTATTTCAGGTTGAACAAAAAAAATATTAGAAGCAACTTAATTTTATTTCTTAAAATATAATACCAATATATTTTCTTTGGCATATTAATGTTCTTAAAACCTTGTACTCCACCTTTTCATTTTTATATAAATTTTACTTTTACTAAAATCAACTAAAACATTTTAGTTTCAGTCTTATTCTTAAATGACAATATACTTTGTCTTTTATTCACAAAAGCATTGTACCATTTTTTTATATGTTCAAATCATCTCGTAGTTTCAAGTCTTTAAACCTATCCTATCTTCACGTTGTTATATTTTACAACTTGTATTTCACTATATATATATATAATATATATATATATATATATATATATATATATATATATATATATATATATATATATAGACACACACACACACACAGAGAGAGAGAGAGTTCAATACATAACTAATCACGAAATCAATGAAATAGTCTTGGGCGTCGGAAAAAAAATGCGATCGACGACAAAAAGATAGGTTCTAAATTTGTACAAAGAACAACATGCACCGGGTTATATAGAAAAACTCACTTCATTTTATTTTATTTTTCATGTCATGTTTTTAATTGGAAAAAAATGTATATACCAATATTCATGATTTTTCATCATCTTTAAATAGAGTTGATATATAAAAAACGAAAAATAAAAATTTATTTTTCTAGTTACTTTGTACAAAACAACTCTATTTAGATTTTTTTTTTGGAATATAAACTGTATTAAATATTTATAGAAAATGTTTCCCATGTAAAGAGTTATTGTATTTTTTTTGAACAATTATTGATAAAATACTAATTACTCGATAATATATAATAAATTTATGCTTAATATTCTATGTAAATGACCATCATGTACAAAATTGTTAGAACATATCGATTTCTTAGTACATATTCATAGTTTGATTATAGGTATTAATTAAAAATATATATGTGAATGCTCGTTTATATATATATATATATATATATATATATATATATATATATATATATATATATATAATTTACATGTGAATCCGAACAATTATTGACATTCATATGTGAATCTAACTAAATTAAATATGAATCTATGTAAATTCAAATTGATTTTTTTTGACAAGTTTTAACCTTTTATCATACACAAATAAATTTATTGATAATAATAAATGAATTCATTGAAAGTCACATATAAATAATCAATAATTGCTATAAAAATTGGATACAATAAGCATTTACATGTTAATTTTTTATAAAATTTCGATACATATCAGATTCACGTGAAAATCTGAACATAAATTTCAAAAAGAAAACTACATTTAAAGAGCACCGAAAAATATAAATTTTGATATATTTGTTAAATTTTTTTCAAATAGAAAAACAAACTTTAACTTAAAAAAAAAACAAACTAAGTTTCTTTTTCTTTTTTTTTTTTGAAAAAAAAAATTCGTTCTTTATATATCAATATAGATTTCTAATGAAAAAGTTCGAAAAATTATGAACATTGGTATATTTGTTTTTTTTTCTATAAAAAAACTTGGCCTAAAAAAAGTGAATGAGAAAACAAAGTTTGGTTTTTGGTATAATCTGATGCAAGCACGTTCAATTTACAAATCTACAACCCTTCTTTTAGCTGTCGATCATTTTATATTGTGACGCTCACAATTGCTTCAATGGTTATTACTTATTAGTTAATAATGGTTTTCTATTAATCAAAACTATATATATATATATATATATATATATATATATATATATATATATATATATATATATGTTGCAAAAATCAGCCTAGACGGCAGACTAATTGGCGCTTGGCGGTCCTCCACTGAAGACGTTTATAACTAACTGGCCTTTATAATCAAACGTGGTCAAATTCGGACAAAGCCGTAGATAATTAGAGCTAGGCGGATCTAGGTACTCTAATCGGTTAATGAAAGTTAACGAAAATTAAAAACTTTTAGGGGCTAAATTGTCAAAGTGTAAAACTTGATGCTAGGGTTCACCCATTCCATCGCATTCAATCTTTTTTTTTTTAGAAATTCTCTCTCGCCTAAGGACGGAATGAACGATGAATGAAGTTAAACGCCGCCATCTTCTTCTCCATTAACGATGTCGACAACATCTTCCTTGTCTATGAGGTTCCTCGTCGTATCAAGCACACCAATATCGACTTCCTCGCCTTCTTAAGCTTCTCACAACAGTCTCGTTCTGAACCTTCTCGACTCCGACGTCTGCTCTTCCTCCGACGCCTTCTGTTCCTCCTCCGACATCGTCTGATCTTTGGAATCCCGTCATCGTCATCTGCAAAGGTTAGCCTCACTTCTCCTTCTTTTATTTATTGTCGAGATTAAACAGGAGAAATGGTTATTCCTTGGTGTTTGGTTTATCATTATTTAGCAGAGAAAGGGTTAACCGAGGAAAAATGGTTTTTGCTTCAAAAAGTGGTAGATGTATTCAGAAAACAAGTTTATGGAATGGCTTGTGAAGAGGTATGAAGAAGAAGCCCTCAAATTATTAAAATTGTATCAGAAGCATTTGGATGAGGCAAACTAACTGAATTTCTATGTTCTTGTTCTTCTAAACAGAAATGTATTCTGACTTTTTAAATTGAAATCATAAATTTTGGATAACCTGTCTGTACAGGTTCCATAATCCAAATGAAGTTGGGGGCATCCATGGTTTTCTTGATTATGATCAATGTGCTTTTTATATTTGCAAATTAATGATTATACTTGTTATAACATAAAACGGATACTGTAGTATATAAGAATAAATTGTGTTATAGATCCTAATCGTTGGACTTTATTAGCCAAGTTTTATGAATAACTGTTTTTAGAGAATTCGGGAATTTTCTTTCTAATGAATTTCAGTTACAACAATTCAAGCAATTTCTAACAATAATTATTGTTTCATGGATTTTGTATTCTCGGATGTGGGTAATTGACATCTCATTCTCAAAGAATATGATATTATATATAAGGGTTGATGATCGAGAGAAGGAGACCTGAGTTCAAGATGGAGGGACCTGTATTCGAGTTGAATATCAATTCCATTCTTTAAAGAATAGTATATTTTTTTAGATGCATTCCTCACAAACTAATTATACATTCTTACAAGAATATACACATTCTTTAAGAATGCTTATTATTTTTATGTAATTTTATTTAATAACTTTATGTTTTTAGAATAATATATCACATTTTTAACATTTTATGTTTATTTTGTTAAACTTGTGATTAAAATTTTATGCTTATTTACTTATATTATTAAGATTAAATTTAGATTTATTAATTTAAAAATAATTTTCTTAATAATTAATGGTCCCCGATTAATCTCCGCCTAACCGATTAATCCCCTGACCTCAGTCCGCTACCGAGCTACCGTCAAACGTCTTTTACAACCTTGATATATATATATATAATATATATATATATATATATATATATATATATATAGTGTGTGTGTGTACGTAACGACAATTCTGGACCAATTGATGAAAATAATGAATGACTATGATTTTGAGGGTCTGTGATATTATAATGGAATAACATGTACTATATTATCACTTAAATTTAATTATAAGGTTATTTTAGTCAATTAAACTATATTTTAAAAAGAAAATTTTCGGATTTTAAGGGATAATTCTGTTTTTTTTTTATAATTAATTCAATTTAATTCTAATTTAATTTTTAGTAATAACCAATTATAACCTATTTTATTCTGACAGAATTAATTTCCGTTGGAATGAAAGTTTATGGCATTCTTTAAGAAAGCACAAATAAAAAGAAAACATAAATAAGTATATTATGAAGAATACACAAAAATTGATTCTTGAACTAATAATATCAAATAATTTCATTGTATGATTGTGATACAAAAAAAAACATTATTGAATAATAACAATATTTTAAAAGAATAACAAGTGTAATTCTGAAAAAACAAAAACATTCTTAACAGGGTCAGTCCTGAAGATTTAAATATTCTCAAATGCCCCGAACGAGTCAGAAAAAAATGGCCCTTATCACCATTATAAGTTTATTATATATATATATATATATATATATATATATATATATATATATATATATTGGCCCTATGCAGCTGCCCACTTTGTCCTTCCTCAACACCCACATGATTCTTAAACTGCGAGTGTGATCAATCTTTGATTCATTATTTAAGTCATTCGTATAAGGTCTTTAAGCCGTTCCTATCATGAATGCATTGCAAATAATTAAATATGGTTCATTCTAAAAGAAGATGCTGATGAAATCATATTCTATCGGAATAAGTGGCATTTCGAAAGAAACATTTGTTAAAAAAAAGAATAATAGGCAATTTAAAAGAAACATATACTACAAAAAAAAGTAATAATAAGTAATCATGGGCCTCTATATACAATTTTCTCATCTAGTTGCAAGTCTATTTATAAAGGGATACCTATAATTTGCAAAACGTTTAAATTATTAAACAATTTTCAACAAACACAAAAAACTATAGAATTATATTTTTCCAAATCAAATACACAATAATCAAAATTACCTATAATATAAGAAAACCAGTTGACAGACTCTTCAATAGAGCGTGAATGTTTGTGCGATAGAGTTTTTAGAGGGCTGTGAGAGCGGTGGTGAACTTCGAGCGACGGCTGGTGGAGGACAGATGGAAACGAGGAATCAACGAAGTTTTTGTTGTCGCGGATGGGAAAGAGTCGACAGATGGATGGGGGCGGATGTATATCAATGCAATGAACGAAGGGGTGATTTGTAGGGTTTTAATTTGTTTTCCCTAATTAAAAGGGGTATTAAATGTTTTCAATATTTACTAAAGTTAAATAAGTAAAGATGACTATTATACCCCTAAACAATTTATTAATTATTTAATATTTCTTAATTTTTTATTGGTCCCTACATCCACATAATAGATATAGAGAACATATGAACCTATCTCTCTCTCACACACACACTCTCTCTTTCTCTCTCTCTCTCTCTCTCTCTATATATATATATATATATATATATATATATATTATATATATATATATATATATATATATATATATATATATATAGGGTTAGGTTCATGTGTTTTTATACATCTATTGTGTGCTTTTAAGGACAATTATGGACCAACGGATGAATAAAATCAATGGTCATGATCTGAGGGTCTATGATATTATAATAGGGTAACATGTATCATATGATCATACAAATTTCAGCATAAGGGTATTTTGGTCAATTAACCTATATTAAAAGAGGAAATTTACGGATTTTAAGGGATCATTAATTCCCTTATTTTTAAGAATCTGAAAATTTTAAATTAATTAGAATTAAATTTTAATATAATTTTTAATAATAACCGATTTTATTATGTCAGAATGACAAAAAATCAACCATAAACTAGTAAATATATTTTCGATTTTATTATTGCGGAATATGATTCCATTCAAGATATTTTTATAATAAACATGCTTAAAGAATTATACAACATATTATTAAGAATAACATTTTCTACAGAATACGGATTCTATTCTTTAAGAAGCACTAATTACTCATTCGTAAAGAATAAGACTATTAAAAATTATTACATTCATTCTAGAAAAATATGACTAATCATGGTTTAAGAATTACATTTATTTTTAAAGATTAAAGAAAAAACATCATAAATGGTCCCTGTGGTTACCAAAAATCTGAAGTTTAGTCCCCGTGGTTTAAAAACTTCATAGATGGTCCCTGTGTTTTCAAAACTTTTGACGATTGGTCCTTATTGCTAACTCCGTCTTTTGTCCGTTAATTGAGGGGCATTTTCGTCATTTCACACCACAGGGACAATTTATGATCTTTTCAGTTATTTTTTTAAAAAAAGAACAAACTAAATATAATTATTTAATATATAAAATATCTCTCTCTCTATATATATATATATATATATATATATATATATATATATATATATATATATATATATATATATATAATCAACTTTCTCATTGAACACCTCGTAGATAATTGACTTTTTATCTTTCCAGTTTATTTTGATTAAGTCTCTATAAATTACATATTGTAATCTTAGTTCTTATTATTTTTAGTACTTAGTTTTTACTATTGCTCAAACTTTTTTGACAGTTTCATTGATGTTAGCTGTTTTTTTTAGTATTATTGGTCTATAATTTTTTTTTGGATTATGTTGTTAGTATCCACAAAATTATTCTTTAAAATGTAGTTGCTTTCATTGTTCATTTGTTTGTCTTGTTAAGTTGTTATCTATTAAGATTAAGTTTTTAGGATCCCATTAGGATTAAGAGTGTTTGAGACAAAAGTTGAATCTCCTTAGCTTTTAGGAATTGAAAGTGTTTGAGAGAGAAATTGAGTATCGGCAACTGTCAATTTTGATAGGATATATGGTGTTATTTTATTATTATATACATATTAAAGTTATGAAAAATTTTAACAGTAAAGTGACATTTTTTTTTTCAATTTTGGTCCTCCAACTTACAACATTGACCCTTCATCTTTATGCTTTTGTTCACAAACAACCCTTTCACTTTGGTTTGAATTTTTCATAACCCTCGCCTTTTATTACATATTATTAGTATTTTGTTTTTTGGCAGAAATGATCCCTCATCATTATTATTATTATTGTTAGACAAAATTACACGATTGGTCCCTGTGGTTTACCAGATTTAACATTCTCTTTTTGGTTTTAAATTAATGTTTTATTTATTAGAAAATATCCACCCAATACCATAAACCTACCCACCATCTGTCATCACCACCACCACCACCACCGCCAAAATTACATAAATGGTCCATATGGTTTACCCATGGTGACAAATTCAGTCCCTACTACCTGAAAAGACCAAATTACCCTCACATTAACGGACAAAAAACAACCAACATACTACTTTACTTTACAAAACAATACCTTCCGACCCCGACAACGCCGGAGAATCTTTTCTAGTTTAAATAATGTACATGCACATTGTTTTAGTTGGAGTTTATATTCGTTAGTTTGGATAAACATGAGATTTGAATAAAAAAGTTATGCTGCAATATTGCATTATGCATTTATGGGTTTAATGTATTTGTATGGTATTAAAATGGGGCATTATCACGATTTTCCCCCTGGCATGGAAAAGCTTTGGACCGGCCCTGATCATACTGTAAATATTCTCTCATATTGGTTTTGAAAACCATATTGAAGCAACACACTTCATGAAATTGTATCTAAAGATGAACTAATACGGATAAATTTTATTTTAATAGCAATAAAAAATAAGGTTTTTTATTTCTTGAAAACCGTAATCCATTATAACAAAAACAATAATTTATTCTGAAATAATATTATTGCTAACAATCATTTTATACATTCTGACATAATACACTTTCGGTCTGCATATTTTTCTTTCTTTTCCACATTATTAGTAGCCTCTTTAAAACCTAAAAAAAAAAAAAAAAAATCAGAATCTAATAAAAAAACAAATCCAATCTAATAAGAATATTATTGCTAAGCTTAATCGTAGCCTCTTTATTCTATTATACACTAAATTAAATATGGTTTAATATTTTTTGTTTTTCATCTATTGTGCACCGCACAAATTGATTACTACATTCAAATGATTGAATATTGTTCTTTTAAAATTTGTATAATCCGATTAAACCATTATATATATATATATATTATATATATATATATATATATATATATATATATATATATATATATATAGATATATATCTTACTATATTATTATACAAATCTTACTATTTCTAAAAATAGATTTAAGACGTCCAAAACTTTTATCTGAATGTACAATAAACCAATGCATATCTTTATTTCTCTAATTCATCTGTTTCCCTAATTATCTATTTTCTTCTCTTTGACTCCTTAATCGACTTGGTGAACGGTGATTGACCAATTCTAAGCACAAATCAAGGAAGTATAGTTACATTTATTTTGAATTCCAAAATTCTCGTCTCTTAAATGATGAACACCACACACACTCTCTTTCATCTTTTCTCTCAAAAGTCGAACGCTCCGCCCTTCTTGATCTCCATGATCAGTTAACAACCACCACCATATCATCTTCCTCCTAAT